TACTTGCCCAGATATCTTTTTTTTTTAACACTTAAAATGTCCAAAAATATTTATTTATTATACGGAAAAAAAAGAATTACAGCAAGTCGACAGTAAGGACATAGATGGAGACCTTTTAAGCTTTACAACGAGACAGCACTGTACTTTATATCTCCCAAACCAAAAATAGGATAAAAAAAACATCGAGCCAGTGAAAAAGTCATCATTTCAGTGAGATCTGAATCTAATAGAGCTTAATTTATTTATTTTTGTATTTATGATGTTCAATTGATATGCAAGCAAAATCGTCACTCTCTCTCTCTAAGCTAATAACTTTCAATCACTCCCATTCTCGGATCTCTCTGGCACGACTCAAACTTCTTCTTGTTCTGTGAGTTTTTCTTGTCAAGATTTTGTTTTTAATAATCTGTGTTTCGCTTCTTTGAGCTATTAATGTTTCATTCTCTGTCTGAATGAGTGTTTCCGTTTATTTTTTAACTAATCAATGAATGTTTCAGCTTTCCCGGTAAAGTTGTTAACTTTTATTAAATATCTTCCCGAGAAAATGGAAACGATACTACTCTACACTCCCAGATCCACTAGTTCAGTTTAGATCTTTTGTCTGAAAAAGAAAAAAAAAACTTGTCGGTGGCCATTATTTTTTCCTCCATTGATAAACAGTTGCTTGGTTCCCACTCAACTTTAAATGCTAGTGTGTGGTTTCTGACCCAATAAACACGGATCTGAATTTTCAAAGTCTGTGTTTTTATTCCTTAAATTTATTGATAGCTGCGAAAATTTGTTGCCAGTGGCTAACCACCAAACTTTTATACTTAAAATATCTCAGACTTTTGACTGTTTAAAGTCTTATGCTTGTTCTGTTCTGTATTTATGCAGAGAAACTCACATAAAGAGATAGAGACAGAAGAAAGTCTTTGTTATTCTGAGGTTAGATGATGAGAGGGAGATCTGATGGAGGCCAGAAGAAGCGGCTAATTGCTTCTGTCTGCGCCGTGGCTTTATTCCTCTGTTTCTTGTATATGTACTATGGTTCCTCTAACCAAGGCTCATCAGCATTGGAGTATGGAAGATCATTGAGAAAACTCGGTTCTTCTTATTTGAGTGGAGATGATGATAATGATAACAAACAGGACGGATCTGTCACCAGTGAAGAAGATAGTCTTGTTGTGGCCAAAAGCTTCCCTGTAAGTTGTTTTATACAAAGTTTTTGTAACTTTAATGTGAAAAAACTAACTTTTGGTATACATATATGTTCAAGGTTTGTGATGACAGGCACTCAGAGATCATCCCTTGCTTAGACAGGAACTTCATTTACCAGATGAGGTTGAAGCTGGATCTATCTCTAATGGAACATTATGAACGTCATTGTCCTCCTCCTGAAAGAAAGTTTAACTGTTTGATTCCTCCTCCACCTGGCTACAAGGTTCCTATCAAGTGGCCTAAGAGCAGAGATGAAGTGTGGCAAGCAAACATACCCCACACTCACCTTGCTAAGGAGAAGTCTGATCAGAACTGGATGGTTGTAAAAGGAGATAAGATCAACTTCCCAGGTGGTGGCACTCATTTCCATTATGGAGCTGATAAGTACATTGCATCCATCGCTAATGTAAGCCTCTTTACTTGAAACTTTTTCATTAATGATAATATGCAATGTTTAATAAAAACCGATTTTCTTAAAATCTTCATTCATGTGGTTCGATTCAAATCGGTTTAAACCGTTTTAAATCGGTTAAAATTAGTCTAAATCGATCTAAATTACTCTGAATCTGTTTAATCAAGCAATAATGTTAGTGAGAATCGGTTTAAACCGTTTTAAATCGGTTAAAATTAGTCTAAATCGATCTAAATCAATCAAGCAATAATGTAGTGTGATTTCCTAAATTTGTCTAATTTTTTTTTGTGTATTTACTTTCATAATTCATCAAAATAAATTTTTAATTAGACACAAAAAACTAAAATATCTAATGTTTAATATGTGTTTCTAATGGCTTCTTGTGACTTGCAGATGCTTAACTTCTCTAAAGATGTATTAAACGATGAAGGGAGATTAAGAACAGTTCTTGACGTTGGATGTGGAGTAGCCAGTTTCGGAGCTTACCTCCTCTCCTCTGATATAATCGCAATGTCATTAGCACCTAACGACGTTCACCAGAACCAAATCCAGTTTGCGTTAGAGAGAGGCATCCCTGCTTATCTCGGTGTTCTAGGCACCAAGAGACTTCCTTACCCGAGCAGATCATTCGAGCTAGCTCACTGCTCTCGGTGTAGAATCGACTGGCTTCAAAGAGATGGCATCCTTCTCCTCGAGTTGGACCGTGTGCTAAGACCTGGAGGTTACTTCGCTTATTCTTCTCCTGAGGCTTACGCGCAAGACGAAGAGGATTTGAGGATATGGAAGGAGATGAGTGCTCTTGTTGAGAGAATGTGTTGGAGAATTGCTGCTAAGAGAAACCAAACTGTTGTTTGGCAGAAACCGTTGAGTAATGACTGTTATTTGGAGAGAGAGCCTGGGACACAGCCTCCTCTTTGTCGCTCGGATGCTGATCCTGATGCTGTTTATGGTGTCTCAATGGAAGCTTGCATTACTCCTTACTCCAAACGTAAGTATGCTCTTCATTTACTTTTACTTAACGCATGTAGGTTTGGTTAGTTTGGAGTTTGGATAGTTCGGTTTTCGGTTAGTTTGGTTCAACATAAACCTTACCGTATTAATCCAGAATAAAGTTCGGTTTGGTATTCGATTAGTTTGGTTTTTGAAATCCTACCAAAGTTTTTGATTCGTTTGGTTCGGTTTCAATTAGTTCAGGTAGCTCGGTTTTCGGTTAGTTCGGTTCAATATAAATCTTACGGAATTAATCTCAAACAAAGTTCGGTTTGGTATACGGTTAGTTCAGTTTTTAAAAAACTTTGTATACGGTTAGTTCAGTTTTTAAAAATCTTGCCAAAGTTTTTTATTCGGTTTGGTTCAGTTCGACAAGTTCGGTTTGGTTCAAAATCTCAGGCCTATTTTTACCGTTAGTTTCTGTTAGTAACTGGTCGTTGAGTTCTGTTTTTGTTTTGTGAATACAGATGACCATAAGACCAAGGGAAGTGGGTTAGCTCCATGGCCAGCTAGAATGACTTCTCCTCCACCTCGTCTTGCAGACTTTGGTTATTCAACACATATGTTTGAGAAAGACACGGTACGACAACCACAATCAATCTTGATAAATTCTTACAGCTTCAAGAAACTGAAGCATATTGTTTTGTATGTCTTTGTTTGCAGGAACTTTGGAAACAACAAGTGGACAGTTACTGGAACCTAATGTCGTCAAAAGTCAAGTCAAACACAGTGAGGAACATAATGGATATGAAAGCACACATGGGTTCTTTCGCAGCTGCTCTCAAAGACAAAGACGTGTGGGTTATGAACGTTGTCTCACCCGACGGTCCCAACACTCTTAAACTCATCTACGACCGTGGTTTAATCGGGACTAATCATAACTGGTAAAACATCTAAAACTTGTTAAATAACAATAATAGTTCAGATTTTGATCACCATATTCCTTTTCTTGTATAGGTGTGAGGCTTTCTCTACATACCCGAGAACATACGATCTCTTGCACGCGTGGACTGTGTTTTCAGACATGAGAAGCAAAGGATGTAGTGCAGAGGATCTTTTGATAGAGATGGATAGGATTCTTAGACCAACAGGGTTCATCATCATCAGAGATAAGGAGAGTGTTGTTGAATCGATCAAGAAGTATATGAAGGCGTTGCATTGGGAGGTTGTGGCGTCGGAGAAAGTAACTACAGGTTCAGAGCTTGACCAAGAGAGTGAAGATGGTGAGAACAATGTCGTTTTTATTGTCCAGAAGAAACTTTGGCTCACTAGTGAAAGCCTTAGGGACACTGAGTAATCAAAATCTAAAGCAGAAGAAGAAGAGGAAATAAAAAGAAAGAAATTGTTTTATTCCCATATGTTTTTTATGTAGTTTTTTTTTATTTATATTTGTACCACATAAGCAACATTATATATAAATTAACTATAAAAATTAATCATTACTCTTTTCGTTTCAATTTATATGTCGTTGTAGAGAAAAAATTGTTTCAAAATAATTATTGTTTTATAATTTCGTTGCAGAATTTATTAATTTTATATATATTTTTAGTTTTTAATTAGTTAAATGTTGTTAGGTTTATAGATAATTTTAATTTTATTTTTAAAATATGTAAAATTAAATATTTTCTTAGTGTATGTGCAAAAATTTAAAACTACAAATGAAACCGAGTGAATATATCTTAGTGCATGACACTCAAAAATACTTTGAATACCGACCAAAGCAAAGAAAGAAAAGTAAAACAAATTATTCGCTTATTACTGTTTAACACTTTAAGATAAAAGCTACAAGGCATCTAATTCCAAACACGTAATTACCATAAGCATTAACAGTTTATAAATGATGGACCTATTGTATATTTTTCTATTATTTAAATGGAGAATCAATCAACACTACTAATAAAGCCAAAAGCGATTATTAAAAAATAAAAACAAAAATTAGGTAAAACTTTGTTTCTATTACCATGTGTAGGAAGGGAGAGATAAATACAAATCTATTTCTCATATGTCTGAATAGATTATCTTCCGAATAAAAGTCCAGCTATCTATCCGTACCAGTTTTCTTCTTTATCTCTCTGCAGTCCCTTAAGATTTTCCTGCAAGATCATATTTATTTGTTCCTTAACACTGTTTCTGATCTGAAGTCTAAAAGTCTGAAGCTTGGTTTCGTAAGATGCTGATTTTGTAAAAGGGTGATTTGAGATTGATTAAAGGATAAGCTAGGTTTTGTAAAGTAGAATACTTTAGGGGTTATTTTCGATCTTAGGTAAGATTAAAAAACACGATTAAAGGTTAGTTAGAGCACGAGTTCTTCTTCATTGGATTGAATTTGGGGTTTAGATACAGAGAATAAGGAAAAAAAGGTTACTTTTTGATTGGAGATTTGTAAGAAAAAGGAAAAATGGATCGTGTGGTTGGTGGCAAGTTTAAGCTTGGTAGAAAACTTGGAAGTGGATCCTTTGGTGAAATCTTTCTAGGTTTTTGATTCTTCTTTCTCTGCTTCTTTGTTACTTTGTTTTGTCTTAACGTTTCTCTAACCTTTGTTTTCTTCTAAATTTTGCTTTTGGTTCAGGTGTGAATGTACAATCTGGAGATGAAGTTGCTGTTAAGCTCGTAAGTTGTAATGACTCTAGTTTAGTGTTAGCCCTCATTGTTGCATTTAAACTCGATGATATATCTCATATTTTGTGTGTGTTGGTATTTGATAGGAACCTCTTAGAAGTAGGCATCCTCAGCTTCATTACGAGTCAAAGATTTATATGTTTCTTCAAGGAGGATGTAGGTTTTTCCATTGACTCTTCACTCTTGATTACAATCTTGTTTGTGATGATTGTTGTAATTATGTATTTTCTGTTATTTGAAGCTGGTATTCCACACCTTAAATGGTTTGGGGTTGAGGGTGAATACAACTGTATGGTGATCGACCTTCTTGGTCCTAGTCTTGAGGAGTTTTTCAACTATTGCAGTCGTTCTTTCTCTTTAAAGACAGTCCTAATGCTCGCAGATCAGATGGTATATATACCCCTTTTTATTTTCTTCTGCTGTTATATTTGATTGCATGTACTTACTCTATGCTGTTTCGCTAGATAAACAGAGTGGAGTTTATGCATGTGCGAGGCTTTCTTCATCGTGATATTAAGCCAGATAACTTTTTGATGGGTGTTGGCCGCAGAGCAAACCAAGTAAATTTTTTTTCCAAAATGAATACTGTTTCACAGCAGTGGCATCTTTCTTACATCTTTGTTAATCCCTTTGCAGGTTTACATCATTGATTATGGGCTAGCGAAAAAGTATAGAGATCTTCAAACACACAAACATATTCCGTACAGGTACATACTTGATACTTTCTCTCCTCGTGATTTAAGAATCCAAGTTCTTTCTTAGATGGCTTTCACTTTGCTAATCTTCTGAAGTGTTGTCTTCTCAGAGAAAACAAGAATCTTACAGGAACAGCTCGATATGCAAGTGTTAACACTCATCTTGGAATTGGTGAGTTTCTTTTTTCTTGCTTCTCATGAGCTTGGAGTCTGTCTTCTGTGCTTCTACCATCACACTGCATCAGTTTCTTGACTAATATCCTAATATAACATCTCCTACACAGAGCAAAGCAGGAGAGATGATTTGGAGTCTCTTGGCTATATGCTTATGTATTTTCTTCGAGGAAGGTAATAAAATTGTCTAACCTACTCCTCTTTCTTGTATTATTTTATAGTTGTCACTGATCCTCCTCCACATATGTTTTCAGCCTTCCATGGCAAGGCCTTCGTGCAGGAACCAAAAAGGAAAAGTATGACAGGATCAGTGAAAAGAAAAGACTTACACCAGTCGAGGTATTGCTGCTTCCCTTTCCCCAATTGAAAATGTTGAATTCAAATTTCTCAAGTGTATCCTCTTTTTGGCAGGTTCTCTGTAAAAACTATCCACCTGAGTTCACTTCGTATTTCCTCTATGTTCGTTCGTTACGGTTTGAAGACAAACCAGATTATTCATACTTAAAGAGGCTTTTCAGAGACCTATTCATCCGTGAAGGTTTAGAACCTTACATATGTTTATAGAAATTTTGCAAAAGAAATACTCAAGAAACTATTTTGGTTCAGGTTATCAGTTTGACTATGTATTCGATTGGACTATCTTAAAGTATCCGCAGTTCGGTTCCAGCTCCAGCTCCAGTTCTAGTTCCAAGCCAAGAGTAAGTCCACCTTTAATGAAGCTATATATATATGATCAGAATCGTTAGTTATCAACATTCTCACGCTTTTCCTCTCTTTTTACAATAGCCGAGCCTAAGACCAGCTCTGAATATTCCAGCACCATCTGCTGAGAAACTCGAAAAGCCTTCAAGTAAGCATTAGTTTTCTCCTTATTATCATTATACCATACCCGAAACGTTATAGAGATTAACAAAACTGTTCTCTGAATAAAATATATGTAGCTGGGAAAGAAACTCGTGATAGATACTTAGGTGTTTTCGAGGCATACACTAGAAGAAATGGCTCAGGAACCGGGCTTCAAGCTGATCGGTCTAGTAGACCAAGAACCTCAGAGAATGTTCTTGCATCTAGAGACACGGTTGGTTACTATTTTTTTTACTGTTTTTCTTTGGTAACCTGAAGATGTTAGACCTTTTATGTTTTTTGTTGAATCAGTTAAACCAGGAGAGACCAGTGACTTCATCTAGGAACCAGAGTTCTTCTTCAAGAAAAGCAGTTGCTGGGTCAAGTGTTCGAGCTACTTCTTCAGCTGATTTTGCAGAGAACCGAACCAGTAGCAGACTCGTCCCAAGCAACGGTCGTTCCTCCACAACTCAGAGGGCTCAGTTTGCGTCCTCCTCAAAGGCTGCACCATCGAGAATTCCTCCTGACGTTACACTCGAGTTCCTCACTATTGGCAACGGGAAGAGGAAGTAACTCTCTCCCTATTTCACTGGTTGTATCTATACTATTATTCATCCATCTTTGTTTGACAAGTTATATACTATTACATGTTATCCTCACTATTGATTGCACTGATAACAGTGTGGATATGAATATTTTCATATTTTACAAGACCGATAAAGAACCCACTTAATAATCAGCTGTGTAACTTAGGCATGATTATCCAGGGTTTCTTAATGTGGATTTCTTAAAAATATAAGAAACTGAAAAGTTAAGAAGCGGTTTCTTAAACTAATACTTTAAAAACAGTTATATTTCCCTAACAAATCTGCTCTAAGAAACTCTTAATCATAGTCTTAGGCTTTGGTTAGTAATAGTGTACTTTTAAAATTATCTATAAATTTGTTAAAAAAACAAAAATAAAATATGTTTTTAACTTATTACAATATATTTTTCACAAAACGGATATTTAAATATAAGAAAAGCATAAATTTAATTGTTTTACATGTGAATTTTGAAAATTATATTTTAACTCCTCTAAAAAACAAAAACAAAAAAAAAGTTTTTCTTGGTTTCCAATTTGTTTAGAGTTTTCTAAAATTATTATCAAACTTATTGACAATTTTAAAAGCATTGTCTCTCAAAAAAAGATCTGGTTAAGCTTTACTTACCCTTAAATTTCAAAAACCAACTATAGTTGATTAGGGTGTATCTCATCATATGAGTTTGTGGTTTCCATGCATTATATGAGGAGTTAAGTTTATACCCATAAATAGACAAAAAGGTTTCCATTTGTATGAGAAGATCTATGCATATTATTAGTTTCTTGAATCGTCAAATTACACACTGTGGATCATCAGCTACTATTAGTTATCTCCGTCTACCCAACTGAAACGATTTCTTCAAAAACTGATTAGCAACACGATCATCTCTATAACAAAGAACTCTCAAGATCGTGTTCGGATCCGACCTATTCCATCTCCCAGTCGTTGGAGGCATAGGAAGCCTCTGTCCCGTCCCGACCAAACCCATCCCACTTGCCTCACACGTCACAATACTAAAATCTTCCATTAGCTGCTCCGTTGGTTGACTCATCAAATGTATAACTCCTTCCACCGTCTCCGCCTCTCTATCCACCACCTCTTCAGGTATCAACCCTTCCCCACACGTGCAATAAACTTTCTTCAAACTCTCGAAATCCTCCTCGATCATCTCGTGATCACTTCGGTAAAACACACGTGAATGTCCACCCGCTAATAGTATCGTTAAAACCACTTCGAAAGAAGCTTTCATGACTTCCCTCATCGCTAACGCTTGCGCACGGTCAGCGAGAATCGCTGTCATTAACGTTAGGTTCTGTTTCAAGATCCTTAAAGCTGGTTTGATCCTCGCGTTAGCGACGTCTCCGTGGTATAGTCTCTCGTGAAACACCGAGTATGAGTCGAGGAAGATTAGTCTGTAAGCTGCGACCTCAGAGACGTGCTGAAACGCGGTTTCGATTCCCGCTTGCGTGGACTCGAAGTAAGAGGAGGAGTTTGTGCGTTCGCGGTTGCGTTTGCGTGCGGCGGGGAGGACGTTAGGGTTTAGTGAGAGGGATTTGTTGAGGGAGTGGAGTTGTGTACTTAGGAAGTGTAGAGTGTTGAGACGAATGTAGAGACGTTGTGTGCCGCGGCTAGTGGAGGGACGTGGATGGTGGCCGTCGGAGATGCCTAGGGCGCCGCCGGTGAGGTTGTGGAGATCTTCACCGGAGGCAGTGCACGGTGCTGCTTTCTTTAAAAGCTTCACGAATCTTGAGTCTCTGTTGCATCTTGTGAGAGGTGGAAGAGTAGGAATGTAACTCTGTTTCGAACCTGACAAAATCAATAACAGAGTTGTGTAAAATGAAATTTACATTTTTACCAAATAAATAGTTAGGTGGTTACTTAATTTAACAGATTTATATTAGTTTTAGATCGATTTAAAATGATATAAAATGGTTTAGACAAATTTCGAATAATTTAACTAATTTGGGAGAAAAAAAAATTATTTGAATCGTATAAATTGGATTTTAAGAAAATCGTCTTGGTTTGGAGTATTTGCCATTTAAACAGATGCCTAGGCAGCGCCTTATACCGATTTTAAAAACATTTTTACATTGTTTCACTCACCACAAGATGCAACGTAGGTGGTGTATTCTTGGAATATTAGTTTTAAGTCGATTTAAAATGATTTAAACTGATTTAAACAAATTTCGAATAATATAATTTATATGAAAAAGCAGAAAAAACAATTTGAATCGTATAAATTGGATTTTAAGAAAATGTCTTGGTTAGGACTATTTGCCGCCTAGACTCTGCCTTATACCGATTTTGAAAACCATGATTTTAAAACTTTTGTTACACTCACCACAAGATGCAACGAAGGTTGTGTATTCTTGGAAGAGTTGTTCTAGCCCTTCAGCTAGATCATGAACCAGATCCTCTGTTATACCAATAGGAACCTCGAAGAACTCAGCGATTGCATCGTTGGCTAGCTTCATCAACTCTCCAGCAGATTGAGCATAGGGTTCAGATTTTGATTTAGGGTTCCATGTCTACAAAAAGACAAATAAAGATTTTTTTTTAGCAAATGATCAGTATATTTACTTGAAACGCAAGTCAATGTATGATAAACCTACTTCAGCTTCCTTTGCCCTATTCAAGCATTCTTGAACTGTTTTCAACTTCTCATCAATCCACTGCTTTAAAAGCCGCAATATTATCGATTCAACTTCATACGGAACCATCTCTCTAACGAGCCCTTTGCCTCCATCTTCACATTCCTCTGAATCTTCAGCCACCATCTGCACAAGAACCTTCTCCAGCTTCCCTGCCGTTTGCAGAACTTCAACAGTCTCTTTAGTTATAGTTGACCGGCCAGCTAAATACTGCATCAAGACCGAACCGTAACACTGGTGTAATGAAACCGAGGCTACACCAGCTGCAACCGTATACCATCTTTTAAGTATAGGGCTGAAACACTCTCGCTCTCGCAATGCAAGATCTTCTGTTTCCTTAGCTAGCTGAAGTAACATCTTCGCAGCTTCTTCTCCGTCCTCTGTTGCTGAACTTTTGTCTTTCATGCTCTCAATAACCTAAAACATTTTAAAATGAATAAGAACTAAAAAAAAAAGAATGACTTGTAGTCCAAGTTACCTTTGAGAAAGCGTTTTTAATAGAAGCTCTTATATAGTAATCAACACGCTCCCCTGAAGAATCCACCAACTTCACATCACCTTTCTCTTGACTACTCCCTTGAGATATCGTCACGTCGTCTCCCACAATCCTAGACGAAGACAACGCTAACGGAAGAAGATTCTCAATCAATCCAACGCTCCCTCGTTGGAAATAGTCATGGTAACTCAACAACCTTTTCTCGGTCCATCCCTGCATAGAAGCCAACGTTGACGTCAAAAGCTTAACGTAGAGAGCCTCACGATCAGACTTCTTAGCATCATTAGCCACTTCAGCCAACATAGCATGAGAGGCACCAAGCAAGTCAGGCTCCATCTGAGAGGTCACAATGTACTGATGAAACAAAACCCAAGTAAAACACAAGTTATGCACTGGCTTCGTGATTCCAAGCATTGTCCACGTCTTCTTCATCAGCTCCAAAAGCTCATCGATCTCGTCGAGAACTAACGTCTCATCACGAATATCGAAAATGGACTGTAGAAGCGCTACGTAGAGATGAATGTTGAGAGGGTATCCATCAGCCCAGTGACACACATCGCTTGTGTTGCGGCAGGCTAAGGAGATGACGACGTTACAGAGTGTTGACATTGTCTCTGAGGCTTTTCCTGTGTCGATGGGTTTGGTCTCGCTTTGGCGGATTACTTCTCGGAGACGCATTGCGAAGTTGTTGGTTTTTTCGAGAGGGATTGATGGGTGAAGGAGAAGACCAGCTTCAATGACTTTAAGCTGACGTCTCTGCCATATCTGATACTCATTCACGTCGTTAAACTCCGACATTTTCACGTGCCTTAGAAGCTCTAACGGTAGGATGATCGTCTCTGCTCGCTTACCCGTCTGTAGAATAATCATTCAAAAATACATTCAATTAGGGTTATATTTCCGCCTAAAAAAATCTGTTTTAAAATAAGTGTGGTTTGAGAGTTTCATTGCAAAATTTATTAATTTTATATGATATTATATTTTTCTATTAGTTGAAAAGTGTTGTGGTGTATAGTTAATTGTGTTTTTATCTTAAAAATATGTAAAATTAAATATTTATTTAATCTGTGTGCAAAAACGTAGAATAATAAATAAATGAAACGGAAGAAGTATTAAAGATAATAAACAAAGGAACTTACTTGACCAACAAGCGTCCTCGTTAGGGTTTTCCTAAGCCGTGCGTCACCTTGTTCCGTCACCCTCATTTGTTGCCTCATGATCTCCGCAGAGGTTAACGGTCGTCTAGGACGAGAAGGAGGAACCGTCAAGAAGCCAGAACCGGGGCTAATGTGACCCGAAGAGCCACCTCCTATGCTGCCTCCATTACCAGGAGAGCAAGGATCCGGCAAGGCTCCTGCAGCTGTTCCTACCATTCGCCTAGAAGGAGATCTTTTTAGCATTTTCAACCCTAATGCACGTTTCACACGGCTTGTTGGTGTTGTCACAACCTCTTTCCTCCCTAAAGATCCGAATCCTGAACCCTTAATGGACCCGGATCCTCCGACCCCGTCTCCTTCGTTGTTGTCACCACCGTTGTGTTTTGAGTAGAAGGTGAGAGCAGTTCTGCCTCCGAATCCAGGTGATGAGCGACAAGCTGCGAAAAAGACCTCGTACGCGGTCTCGCGTATTTCATCTCGATCAAGGCCGTCGAGTTTCCCGAATGGCCAGAGAAGATCTGTTTCAGGACAAACTATAGAGGCGGTGATGTCGGAAAAGGACTCCCTCCGGGAATGACGAGACATCGCGGAGGGAGAGGCAGGAAAGGGGAAAAAAAAAGATTAAGATGGATTCAGATTTAATCAAAATCAGAGAAAGTGAGGGGAGAGAGGAGTTCTTGGTTTTTAAAAGGGAACAAAATGAGAGACAGAGAGGTGGAAGAGACAACTTGGAACAATCTAATCTCTCTGTTGTCCTAAGGAAAGAAAGAGGATGTGAGAAAAATTAGGACGACTCCATAATGATAAAACCATAATTAGCAAATCTTATATTCCAAGTAACCTCTGCCAAAAAGGAAAAATCTTATTTTCTTTGGCCTTAAAGAAAACAAGCACAAAATCCAACCTAGCTTTTGTTAACAACAGAATCCACATATCTTCGCACATTCCTGTTTGTTGATGCGTCTGAAAAAACAAGGGTCGTTACCCAATATCAATGCTGTCTAAAGTCAGTTTTTACAACCAATTCTGAACAGAGGAAAGAGATGAGTTTAGAGAGCTCTCAATTTTGAGAAAGATAGAAATAAATCTACGCAACCATAAAAGAACTACATATATATCTCCTGATCAAAAGCAAAAACACAGTAACAAAAAACCTATGAAGAATTGCATTTGTTACACACAAAAGACCACTCCAAAAAAGTTTCAACAAGCTCGTCTCCATTATATTAGTTTCCTCCTTCAGTGGTGGCAGTCAACGCTGGGAAACACTCCTTCACCATATTATGTAATCCTTTAGACAAATACCCCATAAAAAGTTATCAATACTTTTCAAAGAACCCTACAAAACCTTGAAGATATTCATACTAATCAAAGTTTTGAATATTAGTTGTTGGGTTCCACTGTTTAGTGGAATCCCTCCAAAAATAGGCGTATGCCATTTAAGAGTGGAGAGCACACGGTATTCTTTAGTAAAAGGCGAAAGAATAGTTCGCTTTGTACTCACCACATGGCTGCGTGATTTGAAACACTAGAAGAAGACCTTTAATTGTAGTGACAGTTCTCGCTGCTAGTTTACTTCTACTGTCCCGATGTGGGACACTATAACAAATGACCAAACGCGATATTGGTTCAATTAAACAACTCTTCGTGGGCTTTACTGGGCCTACAATGCTTTTAAAAGCTGGGCTTCAAAACCCACGTGGTTTCACGAGTGAGAAAACCCTAGTACTACGCGTCGCTATATTACTAAGCCGTAAACCCTAATTGTTCTAACAGTAACTGCTCAAGCCGTCCAAAATGTCGAAACGAGGTTCGTACTCTTCTTCTTCCCCGTCGCACTAGATCTGAAACGAATGCAAATATTCAACCGTTCGTAGTGTTAATGTTTGTTTTTGCTATTTTTATGTTTTGTGTTTTTTTAGGACGTGGAGGTACGTCTGGTAACAAGTTCAGGATGTCACTGGGTCTTCCCGTGGCAGCTACAGTGAACTGTGCTGACAACACCGGTGCTAAGAATCTCTACATCATTTCGGTGAAAGGAATCAAAGGTCGTCTTAACAGATTACCTTCTGCTTGCGTCGGAGACATGGTGATGGCTACAGTGAAGAAGGGAAAGCCTGATCTCAGAAAGAAGGTTATGCCAGCTGTCATCGTTAGGCAGAGGAAGCCTTGGCGCCGAAAGGATGGTGTTTTCATGTACTTCGAAGGTAAAAAAAAAATTACTTTCTTTAAACAATTAATCAAATGTTTTAGTTGGGGTTTTGTTACAGTTATAAGTCTTTACATGTTTTGTCTTTCATATCTGTTTGTTTAGATATGTTGGTTATGAATAGTTAGATGTAATGGTGATTTAGATTCAGGAGGTTGGTTATAAAATTTTATACATGTTCCAGACTTGTGTCAATGTATTAACGAACTCGTTTTGAGGATGTATTAATACTAAACATTGTCTGGTAAATATAAATGTGTTCTATCGTTACAGATGCTCTTATGCTTTAAACGCTTGTATCTGCTCCATTTGAACTCGATATTCGTATTCGTTAGATAATTCTCATGATTTTTTATGATTTATTGGTTAGATTTAGTTGTAGTCAGGTTCATATTAATCTATTAGATTGAGATTAACCAGATTTAAGTCAAGTATCCACCGACACGTTAGAGGGTGTTGATACGGTTACAAGTCTGGGATACTTAATTGTGTCCTTCGTTACAGATGCTTTATTGCTTTAACGCTTGCTTCTGCTCCATATCGACTCTATATTCCACTCTTTAACTTATTGTTTCGACTTAACTGTTTGTTTGGTTTCCCGATTTGTAAGCGAATGCTAATTTGGTTATCTGTTTGTTTCTTTGCACAGATAATGCTGGAGTCATCGTGAACCCCAAGGGAGAAATGAAAGGTTCTGCGATCACTGGTCCTATTGGTAAAGAGTGCGCTGATCTCTGGCCAAGAATTGCTAGTGCTGCCAATGCCATTGTCTAATCTTAAAAGATCAAATCAATCGCTAATCGGTTTGGCTGGCGTTTGGTTATCTTTCAAAAGAGATTTGATAATTTTGGTAGATTGTTTTATTTTATTTTCTGACAATATGTGCGACATTCAAATGGTTTGGTTGTTCAGACATCATTAATCAATGGTTTTTACTTTTTTGCCTTAATTTAATGCTAAAAGCAGAAAATAATTATACAATAATAATGATGATTATATCTTTCGTAGCTCGTTGTTCTGACTATGTAATAATGCTATAGCAATCGAGAAAGATTGCAAAACAGATAGCCATGCTGTTTGGAATTGAACAAAGTAATGTCCTTGTTGAAGCTTCTCAATCCTTAGTACAGTCGTCTCATGTTTTGATCCCTGAAACGCAATGGCAATAAGCTATTTTAACTCCAACGGATTCTGGTTAGATCTTATATATAGAAGAGATGTTATTACCTCTACTAATAGCTCCAAGAGATTATCTTCTCTTGGTTTGCCACTAAGAAGGGTTAAGTAACAACCCAAGTCCCATCCTCCACAGTCACAGTTTCCTTGAGATTTCCACCTCTCTATCAAACTCGATGGTCCATCTTCAGGCCCTCCATGACTCCCTGCTGGTATTACAACATCCACACTTGTCTTATACCTTAAACTTCCACTTTCAGTTCGTACCAACGAAGATTTCCTCAAGAACTTCAATCCCCACCCCCCTGTTTCCTCCTCTTCTTCAAGAAACTCTTGTTTCACAACAATAGCTAACGTTTCAAGATTTGTTGGAGGGTTGTTTTCCAATAGATTCACCTGCTCTTGAACAAAATTTGGCTGTTCCAACTTCTCAGTGTTCTTCTTCATCACATCAACTACCTTTTTAGACACTCCTCTGTTTCTCTTTTGACAAGGGATCTTCAAGTGCTCACCATTGTTACTGAACAGAACAAAGTTTCTCTCTATGAACCTCTCATTCAACAATGTACTTGAGGACAACGTCGATACCTTTATTCTACCAACTAGCAGCGATGGTGATGATGATGATTCTTCTCTTTGAAGATGAATCATATACAAATACTCATCAGCATTGCTGCTTAAGCTTGCCACGTAAACATCTTTTTGATTATCCAATTTAAAAACAAAACGAGGCATCCCATTGGCTCTCATAGTGATCTCAACGGTTCCTTGAGAAACGTCTGTAGACGGAGACGAGGAGTTGTTGCTAGGTAAAGAGATTACCTTCCGAGATTGGTCAGCATCATAGTCTGCTCCTAGTTTCCTCAAGAAACGACTTGGAGAAGAAGTAGAGAACTCGTCACTACATGATACTTTGGGACTGTTTTTGAATATCCGTAAACACTTCCCGCTGCTCAAAACCGCTAAGCATCGTCCACTTTTCTTGCGTAACAAGTTTCTCGGCTTTGATAAGTCGTGTAGGCTTGAAGGGCTCACATTCATTAGTTGATCTACATTCTTTTTAGCATCATGAGTATCACCTTCCATCTTTCACCTTGCTTTGTTCTTATCAAAACCGGAACAACTTCAATATTTACAAAACGTGGATTAATCCGAATCCATACACAAATATAGAAAATGTTAAAAAAAGGCATAAATAACCAAAGATTACAGTAAACAAAAAGTTAAAACCATAAAAAAGTAGGATTGAAAAAATATTTAAAAATTTATTGATTTTTCAATTTTAATAAGGAACATTTTTGTTATTTTCTTCATTAAAATTGGAAGAAGGACAAAAAAATTAATGTAATAGATATATCTAATAAATGGTGTAAATTAAAGAATGAATAGAAATTAACTATTCTCATTCATTCTTTGTTTACCATTTAGAACTATAGTGTAAATATATATTATTATCTATCTAGTACTAAATCATTTGTTAGATTTACATTTTCAAAACCAAGTGCATCTAACATGGGATACATACTTCAAAAACAAAACGTAAAATTCAAAGCTACAGAACATGTTTGGTAAAAAAGTAAAGTTCTTGATATACCTATTTTACCTATAAGGAATATTGTTTATTAAGCTCTTCAACTGAAACAAAAGAAAAAAAAGGTTTAAACTATAAAAATAACAAATCAATAAACGTAAGATTGATCTTCAAGATCAAATGACAATTAAGGTTCTAGCAGCCAGCTTAATTTGATAACATCAAGGCAAAGAAAACCATTTTGAAAGAAGAAAAGACATTTTCATTGCAATGCTTCATACCTTAATTAAAACTGGATCAACAAATTGTATATATCTTCAGCTAAGATGAAACATCTTCTGGATGATTGCTTCTCTTACGTTGTTTTTCTCGCCAACTTTAGGGCATAAAAAATCTTCCTCTCCTCCTAAAGAATCATTGAGTAAGAAGAAAGTGGACCAAGCTTGGAAGCTAAAAATATATGAGAACCTAATGGGTATCTGTACGAACATAGCGTGTTGCATCCACTTTTATATAATTCGATTAGATTTTTTGAATTTTTCATTTTTTACACTTAAGTCTTGTTTTCTCCACTTTTGGTTAATTGGCTTCTAGTGGGAGGTGAGGTGTGTGTGTGTGTTCGGTGGATCAAACTCAACACACATATCACTATCTCTTAGTTATAATTATTTTATCTTTTATGAACGCAGTTTTGCATCATATGAAGATATGGTCAACGTTTAGTTTAACATTCTATTACAAATAGGTACTAAGTATTACCTAGTCGTTGTAATATTAAAAACTAGGACTCGTCCGCGCTACGCGCGGAATATGGTTTACACGTGATCTTTATAACTATATAATTGTATATTTTCATTATATGTATTCTATGTTTGTTTTTGCTAAAGTGGTATATTGACGTTTATGATTTTAAATAATATTAGTGTTTGTCGGGATTATGTATTAATTTTATGTGGTTTTCTTGTTTTATTATTTATATATATATTATTATCTGCACATTTATTTTTCACAGAGAAGGTTTATTGTTGTTAATATCAGTTGTATCATTAATGAGTAATATATATATATATATATATATATAAATTAGCTAAAATAAAAACGAATTTAACTTATTTGATGAGGAAGTTATAAAAATAAATGGAAATAAGAATTATCCAATATATAAAATATATCTGATTTAAATAGATAGTTCCTATATATATTATGCTGTTATCCAAAAAATATATTTTAGTAAAAATTATAAATTCGAAAATGAAAAACACATAAATAAATATTAATAAAAAAATCATAATTTTACATAATTGAAAAGTAAATATGGAATTATTTTGAAGATTTATTAATGAACAATATATATAATTAGCCAAAACAAATATGAATTTTAAATTTATTTGATTAGAAGACTTATTAAAATAATAATTAAAAAAAATCATAGAATATATAAAATATATTTTATTTTAAATTAAAAAATTACCAATTGAAAAAACGAAATCACATACCTAAAAAATATTTTTTAAAACTTTTTTATAATTGAAAAGAAAATGTAAACGGTTTAAAGATTTATTAACTAATAATTATTACATTACACAAAGATACTTTCAAAAAAAAATATAATACGAAAACATTTTCAAATGAAAAAAATAGTTTATATTTATAGTCTTTTAATTAGTAACGCATTTACTTATAAAATTATAAATCTTTTAAATCCGCATGCACGGACAAAACACCTAATTTTCATTATAATTAGTAATGTATAATCTACTCTATTAAAATAGATATATTTTAATTTTCATCTGTCTGTATCTTATTTTTATTTATTTTAAAAATCACAACAATATACTATCTAAAAATGATTATATATAAAATATAATAGTAAAACTAATTTTTAGTTCATATGTTATTTAAAGATATGATATCAGAAAAATTATAATCACCGTAAAGATATTAATGAAAAAGCTTTTAACTACAGTCCTCAATATTTTAATATTAAATATATTTTGTTTTTGTTTAAATGAAAAATATCAAACTCAAGTTTGTTGGTTAATTGTGGGGTGCTCTAATTTGGACTCGTAAGTGTCTGTACATGTATATTCAGGACTCTGACTCAACCCCCATTTGCATATCTTATTTGTTGAGAACATAAACAGGTTTGCTTATTGATGCATTATGCATTGTTTGAAGATGTAAAGTTATGGTAGGCATTCAAATGAAGTAGAAAATTTTAATCTTTTCATTTGCTTACAGGACACATTCAAATGTAATAGACAATTGTAATCCTCTCATTTGCTTTCTCACTATAATAATAGTCGCATATCTTAAAAAATTAGATGATGATATAGGGTTTGATCCCAGAGCTCTGAAACATGATGGAACTCATTCGTATGTATTATTATATGTCTATTTCGATTTCAAGCAAAATATTATTGGAAAATAAGATATAGTACCATTCCAGAAGCATGACGCATTCCGCATTCCCGGGCAGTGAGAAAGTCTTCATCTAGGGTCACCTCATATGAATCATCATCGTCTTTCTTTACGTTTTGTTGAGGAGTGTTTGATGCAGCGGCTGTTCACTTTGCGTTATGCTGCCTTACTTTCTCTTCCAGCCGCATACTCTACAAAATTTTATATCATATCAATTATCTTTTCTGATCCAGTGTAGCGAAAAAACAGATCACTGATTAGGTAGAATGTTATTCAAGACGACTCAACGTTGCAGGAATGTGGAAGATCGTATACCTGGTCCACAGGATAAGTCAATTCAGAAAATGTGTTTGCCATTTGACGGCCACAGATGAACAGCTCAAATCTTTCAGTTAAACATGCATTACTGTTGCAAAAAAAAATCATTTACACTTAGAGATGTTTTCAGAATATAAGATGAATGATCCAAAACGTCATTCTAGGAGATAGAGTTCTAGAAACAACTTTACCCCGGTGTGGCTTGGCCGAGGGAGATATTTGGATTGGGTAGACCAATACAAAAGTTGGCTGCATCAGATTTGGCTCTACAGCAATTGAAAACCCAGGCAACAACACATAAACTTTGCATCATGGCTTGGCTGAAAATATTTATGTTACTAAACATGGGGTCATGCAAAAAAACTAATTGGAAGCTCAAATGAAATTTGAATATGATCACCTAATTTTGCTCTTTTCGAAACCAAAATAAAACATATGAGCTTTCAAGAATCAGAACCACAGATTCACATAGAGAGAAGATAGAGCTCACATTTGGCGGTACAGTTTACCAATATCAGTTAGACCATGATACTTGTATTGTGTGGCAATGGAAGGAGAGACTTTGTGAGAATTGTATAGGAATTCACACATATAGAAAGTTCCCCTGAGAAAAACAGAGATTTAAAAGTTAATAAAGAAACCTGCTTCGCTAAGGAGATTAAACTATTTTATTCAAGTTCACCTTTCTCGGTCCTCTTCATTGAGCCACAAGCACCCAAAATATCACCAACGTCTATTAAATACCTTCAGAAGTTCAAATTGATCACCTGACAGCCTTTCCTTCTCACAGTATAGCTATCAAGAAACATAAATGTAGAGATTGCATTCCCTCAATTAAAGCAAATCCATCTTAATGATCTATTAAGAAAAAATGGAAGAAGATGAAACCTGAATGGTTATAGAGTCCTCTCACAGAGTCAAGAATGCAAGTTTCTCAAACACTCTACCACAACGTCTCTCCCAGCTATAGAAACCTGATCACTCTCATTGTTTGATTCTTCTATGTTTGCTAGATGTTATATATCTATTGGAGCTGATTTGCACTGTGGCTTTTCCCCCACTTGTAAACATAATAAGGATCAACACCTTGGACTCTTAGTACTTCAACCTAATGAACCATATCAAAATCGTTCATCACAAATTGAGAAGACAACCCAAAAAACAATGTCTTGATACAAATGAGATTATGGTGCTGCTTAACACAAAAACATATAGTGAGGCAGTGTAGGGAATAGGGATTGTGGTTGTTTCAAATGGCGTGGAAGGAGTTTTTCATCAAAAACTTGCCTTGGTTAACTCGTGATTGTTGCTTTCTTTGTCGCAAATGCTTAGTAAGCTTTATCGGCAAAGTCCATGTATTAGTTTGTGATCTGTAAACGTGTGACCCCAAAGTCAACACTCTCCTGTTAATGTACTTCTTAGGCACTCTACAATAGTTCGTCACCTACACAAAAAAAATCCAAAGATCTCAAACACAGCTTTGAGATTTTTGTAATGGTTGATATCACTACAGGGGGGCTCAATTGATTTTTGTTACCTGAGAACCGCCATGGCCACCGTAGACACCGAAGGAATGAGCCGTTGATTGAGGACTGAAACATCTATTAACGTATTTGTTGGAGATCGAAGGAATCTGGGTAAAGCGGAGACATCGTCTTCCATATCCAGTCGTCTTCCACTGATCGATGTCACTCTGTACAAAGGGCCAATATTGAATTTGAATAGACTCCAGCTCTCAGTTCTGCTGATCATCTTTCTCAACCATCGATATCTCGTATGAGTCGTTTATCTCTTTACTGATCGCAATATCAGCGACTATCTATGATGATGACTGGTGACTATCTCCGTAAAAAGGCCATTTGAGAGGAAGTGAAGAATCTCAAAAGTCACCGTTGGAGGAAGAGGATAGACGGCTAGCATCATGTTTAGGTTTAAGACTATCGAAGCCCAGAAACGAAAATAAAGAAAATCGGCCCATAAACTTCTGTGTCCTACGTGGACTTTCTGAGCTGTCATCCTAGGTGGCATGTCTTAGAAGGAGAGAAACTTATCTTTATATAATAGATGCAGGGGAAATCTTCTCTATTAAAAGAGAAGTACCATTTATATCTACTACAAAAAGTCATGTTGGACTATCTCATTAATATGACATATTTAAGTATTTATATTAATCAATCAAATATATATAATTGGATGAATATTTTAATAATAATAGGATATTAGTAATAAATTTGTTGAGAAAATATCTAACAAGATCTTACTAAGAAGTTTA